GGCGTTGATGCTCGACCTCGTAGCGGCTGATGACGACCTCGAGCGGGATAAAACCATCCCCTCGCTCGATCGACACGATCTGAGGCGCGCGAGACTCCTCGTCGCTCAACCACACATCCGAGATGTATAGCCCCTCGAGCACCTCGGGGAGGAGCTCTTCGAGGTGGCTCCCGATGATGCGATCGCTGGAGATGCCGAGGACCTTTTCGGAGGCGTAGTTGCACCCCAGGATCACGAACTCGTCGTCCATGGTCATGATGGCATCAGCGGCCGAGTCCACGATCGCGCGCGTCTCCTCTTCGGAGAGCCGCAGCAGCACCGTGCGCTCGTGGACCTGTCGCTCGAGCTCGGCCTGAAGGTCAGCGAGCATGTGATTTTGTTGGCGCAGCTCCTCGAGCTGTTTGTTCAGCGATGTGAAGAGCTCGTGGCTCTTGCCGTGCTCGATCAACCTGACGAGGATCAGGTGCTCGCCGCTCTCCTGAAACAGGAGGCTTCCGCTGGCGATCACCTTGGTGTCCGGCGCGTGGAGCAACGTGAAGGGAGCGCTCCAGTCGATCAGCTGCCCGGAGGTCATCCAGAGATCGATGGCGCGCACGAGCTCCTCGGGCTCGTTGAGCCAGGCGCCAAGCTCCGTCCCCTGCACGTCTTTTCGCTTCGACGCGAAGAGCCTCGCGAGCGGGTCATTGACCTGCAAGACCGCCCCTTGCATGTCCACGAGCATGTGAGGCTCTGGCATGCTCCGAAGCAGCAATACATATGCGAAGGTATCACTCATCCTTTGAAGCTGCGCGGAAGTACTCTCGCCCCTCGGCGTCGAAAGCCTCAGGGGTTCGTTTCAGGTAAACCACCACGCGGCATCCGCCATCGCCCTGCGCGATGGTCTCCTGGAGCTCGACCTTGGCATAGCCGAGGTTGTTGGCGGCGATCGAACCGAAGACATTGGAGGTCATCATGCAAAGAGAGGGGCGACCCTCGACCTTGTCTTCGAAGGGGCATTGTTTGTTTCCAAAGACGATCTTCTCCTCGTCGATCGACAGGATCGCGAAGTCCCCCTGGATGCGTCGTTTGAGGTCGACGAGCGCGTGCGCCACCTGTTCGTGGTCGAGCGACTCCTGACCGAGCCCCTCTCTGTAACCCTTATCGAGCCACTCTCCGATCTGCTGGCCAACGAGGCTGATAAAACCGCTCGCCTGCTCCAACCCCACGACACCTTCGAGGGTACCGGCGAGCTCTCGAATCAATGATCGCAGGAAAAGATCGCGCTCGAGATCCAGCGAGGATGGGACTTCGACTGCCACAACACTGTCTTGACTCATTCAATACCTCTCCTTGGATGTTGTACGATAACCCTGGTGGTGAACAAAATCGAGCGTTCGTTTGAAATTCGAACCGCCCCCCCGGCGCGACTGACAACTTCACCAACATCATCGCCACGCGACCGCGAACGGTTGAGGAAGTCATCATAAAACCAGGTTGAAACAACCTCGTTCGCATGAAGCTATAGTATGTATGATAGCATCTCTGACCAGGTTCTCGACACCCTCATCATCGATCTCTTGCGTGGCGAACGCGCCCACGGTCCTGGCGAGGATCTCGGCGCCAAAGTGTTGGCGCGAGCACCTCACGGCGTCCGCAGAGAGCGCGCGCCTGGACGCATAACCCGAGAGAAACGCGTCGAGTTGCTCACGCGAGCGTCGCTCGCCAGTCCTTCGCCATCTCGACCAGAAGTGAGCGCACAAGTGACCGATATCCTGCGCCGGGTGTCCATAGTGCGAAAACTCCCAATCGATGACGACGAGCCGGTCTCGCGCGGTGACCAGTACAGAAGGTGGCCACAAATCCCCCATCACGAGGCACTCTCCAGGCTCGAGGAAGCGCGCGCCCAGCGTTCGCAACGCCTTTGCCGCGACCGGTTCCTCGCGCGCATCGAGCCAATCGGCGAGCGCGCCATACTGTACCTCGGCGCGCGTCTGTTGCACGGCGAGGTTGTTCATCGAGGATGAGAGGTCGCGCGACACCTCGCGTTGGAGGGAGGTGGAGTCGTGCAGCGTGGCGAGCCACTGACCGAGGCGCTCCGCGTCGCGTATAAACCCCTCCGAGGTGCAAGCCTGGTTTATATCTCCGACGACCTCGACGTGCTCGGTGACCACCACCCATGGCGAGGACGTCGCGCCGACAAGGGTGGCCGCCGAGACGCCAGCATCTCTCGCGAAGGAGCGCATCTCGGGAGCATCGGCAAGGTAAGTCAGCGCGCCTCCAGACGAAGCACTTTGGACACGATCTGGCGCGCTCGCGACATACGGGGGCGACCACTTGAAGACCAGCGGCGTGGGAGACGCGGGCACCTTCCACACGTGATTGAGCAGGCCACCCGAGAGAGGCTCGGGCTCACCGAGGAGCTCGAAGTCGACGCCCGAGAGGTTTCGCGAGCACCACCGCCGCAGACGCTCGAGGTCGGTCATCACATCAGCCGCGAAGTCCCCCACGCGCATATCCTGTTCTTCAGTCATCCTCGCCACCGAAGCGATAGATCTGGTTGGCGAAAGGCACTGGCGAGAGCTGCTCGATCAACGCGACGAGCAACCTGCCAAAGACCTCGCGCGCGTCATCGAGCGAGGTCGTGATCTGATCATCACCCTCGACATCTGGCGCTTGCTGGCCGCTCGAGCGCTTGTGCCCGGCGACGAGCCCTGCGCAGGGGATCTCGAGCTCGTTGGCCAGGACAACCTCGGGGCCAACCGTCATCGAGTTGACCTGCGCGCCGAGCTGTAAGAAGAACCGATTCTCGGCGGGCGTCTTCGTGCGCGGCCCGCCGACGTAGGCGAAGACGACCTCATCATCAAAGAGCGGGATATCAGCGCGCGTCGCGATATCGCGGATCTGCGTGTTGAGCGCGCTCGAGAAGATGCCATCCTCGATGACCAGGTGTCCTTGCCTCGGGGTGGGTTCGGGGAACATGGTGCACGCCGTTCCATCGGGGAGCGTGTTATGAGGCATCAACAAATCGGCGAGGAGCATTGGCGTCTGAACTGGCAGCGAGGGGTCCATCACTCCGACAGAGCTCGTGGTGACGAGCGCGCCGACGCCGAGCGAACTCAGCGCGCTCGCCATCGCTCGCCAGTTGATCTGATGAGGAAGCAGCGTGTGCGGCACGCCATGCCTGGCGATAAGATAGGCATCACGCGACGCCCCGACGCGCACGCGCCACACGCCCTGGTCGCCAAAGGGCGTCTCCACGACCTGATGCTCGAGCTCGAAGGCGCCGAGCGCCTCGAGGTTCGAGTAAAAGGCGCTCCCGAGGATCAGCGCGACCGCGTCTTTCTCGCTCATTTCGTATGCCACATCACGAGGGGATGTGTGGATGTCGAGGCATCCTCGCGGTCCACACATGTCTGGAGAGTGTGAACGAGTTCCGCGCGGGCGTCAAAGCGGTCGCGTGAGTCTGACTCGCACACAAGGTCATGGTTGTGGTAGACAACGGGCGAGTTCGTTTCAAGCGTTTACATCCATGGTGTCGAGAGATCACACCAGCAATGTCCAGCGATGCCCGAAGAGGAGAGTATGAGCGAATCGGAGCAGACCGTGGGGGAACTCCTGGCGACCATCGAGAAGCTCGAGCTCGAGCTCGAGCATCGCGATAGGCTGCTTCAAATCATCGCGCACGTCGACGACGCGCTCGAGGAAGCGATCCTGCACAAGTGGCCCGTGGCAAAGACCATGAGCTCGCTGCTCCCTGGCGCGCTGGAGACCCTTGGCGCCAGGGCGCTGTTCGTGCGGACGTTCGATGAGGAGCAGCGGTCGGTCGACTTCGCCTACCCCTCCGATGCGGACTTCGAGGGGCTCGACCTCGACGCAATCTGCGGCGCCATCGAACGCGATGGGATCTACCACGAGCGCGGCGCGGCGCGTGACCTCCTGGGGTACAGGCTGGACGTGACCGATGTGTATCTCGGGAGCGTGATCCTCGCCACGCACGAGCACCTCGAGCCGGAGGCGGTCGCGCTCCATCAGCAAGCGCTCGAGCAATGGAGCGAGCAGGTCGACAACTACCTGGCGGCGGTCGCGGATGCGCGCCGCAAGCACCAGGCGATGATCGAGCTCTCGGATGCCTTGCGGGTCTCGATCCTGGATCAGGGCCTCGATCGCGCGATCCATGTGCTCAAGCGGTATGTGCCCTACAAGGATCTGGCGCTCACGCTCAAGTACGACGCGAACCTCGACATGAACTCGGTCAACTACCGCGTGATCACCGAGAGCGCCTGGCACACGAGCTCGGAGCGCACCTCTCAGGAGCTCAGGCGCGCGGTCTTCGAGACGCTCGCTGGCGACGAGCAAGGCCTGATCGCGCGCTTTGATCTCGAGCGCGAGCGCGAGGTCGCGCAGATCTTTGCCGCCGATGGCGTCACGCCCGTGGGGCGCGTCTCTGTAGGCGTGGGCGATGAGCCGCTGAGTCCCTTCGCCAGAGATGTGCTCGATCGCTTCGCCGATTACATCCGGCAGCGCGTGGTGGACTTTAACAAGGAGTGGAAGCGCCTCTCGCACAACTTCCCGCAGGATACCGTGCGTCGACTGCTACAGGAGGATGACTACTTCCATCGCTACCTCGCGCCGAGAGAGCGCGACGTGGCCATCCTCTACTGCGACATCTCCGGGTTCACTCGCCTGAGCGA